CACTATATACAATCAATTTCTATCTAGCTATGAAAAATTTAAACTCATAGTTAATCACAAATAGAGCTTTATTTACATTAAATTTGTACGGTCAAGCCATTAATTATATTAAATATACATTAATTATGTTGAAAAGCTTGGAACACGAACCTTACTCATTGACCCAAGATGGGGCCAGACTTCAACAGACAAAGACTAAATTATCCCACAAGTTCGTGCACGGTGCAACTAACATCATGCGTTAAAACGAATGTGAATTAATTAAAAAAAATTAATTCTTGCTTTGCAAATATTGTTTAATAACATAAAATGGAAATTATTATTATTATTAAAAAAAGTGAAAAGTCTCAATTTGAGAATTTGTTGACCACAAAGACCTAAATTCAAGTACTAGATGCATATAAAATTTCGTGGAGTGTCAATACATCACATCCTTCTTACCAATAATTATTTTTTTAAAAAAAATCTTTTGATGGATTTTTTCTAATTAAAATAAAAATAATGGAGGCTTAAAGCAGCTGCATAAGATGGTCATCATCACCACCACCCTCAATCATGTGGTCCCCACCTCCCTTAATTAAGTTAATTTTGCAGTGTAATTATGGGTTATGACCAAAGTCCCATACTCATCACATGCCTCCCTTCCTAAAATTGAAAGAAAATTGACACTCAATGCCCTTAATTTATATTAAAAAATAATTAGAAAAATGTAATTTCCTTTAAGGATATATTACTTCTGGTCCTAATTATAAAACCTCATTTGTAAACTATAAACGAGATATTATAATTAGAATCGGAGGTAGTACATAACTAGCTAAGACCAATTATATTTTCCTATAGTAATTTCCTGTCCTTCTTCACATAAATTATAATATTTAAAAAATTAAATTACAACTTTAACAAAATATTAATATTGTGACTCATTTATATCATCCTTTTATTATTATTGTTTTTACTTTTTCTAAGTAACAAACAATATAATATCATGTAACCAACATTTAATTTAGATGAAAGCCAGATTGTGCCCCAATGAAGAAAAAAGTTTGACAATATGACTTATTTTTCATTCAGAAGGAGAGATTTTGTTTGTGGAATGTTGAGTCAAATACCACTCAATTTTTCTTCATATCAAAAACTAGAATAACACTTTCTTTTTTTTGAGAAAGTCTTATGCTTCAATATACAACACATTTTACAAAATTCTAAATTCAATTAGTATGTTTTTACATAAAATGTCAATAGCAGGATATTAAAATTACTTTCCATCTAGTAGAACCAAATAATTAATATCAATAATGGGTATTAAAGGAAGACCCAGGTGAACAAAATTCGGAATCTTAACAATTTAATTGTTTATTAGATATGCATTATATATATATATATATATATATATAATGGAGGGAGTATAATTCTTTCTTAAATATGCAACAAAAATAACTTCTTCTATTATGATATATGTAATTTCTTGAAACAATAATTTATTTTAAATTGACTTTTATATATATAAAAACAATTTTGTCGGTGCCTGATTTGTTATCTCCTACTCCTGCACTGCACCACACACCCCTCATTCCCTTTCTCTCTGCTTACAGACCCTGAATATGTTATCTGAAACGATATCCTGCACGTAGCTGCAATCACACGTTTTTTAAATATATACTACTTCCGATTCTAATTATAAGAGTCAGTTAACTAATTTGAAGAGATTAAGAAAGTAAGTTGAGTTAGTTATTTGTTCTAAATAGGTGTTATCTTTTCTAAAGTATCCTTACTAATCAAGTGTATTGATTATAATTATTATTATTAGAAGGGCTACTTAGGACCAAAATAAAAGTTAAACAGGATCTTATATTAAGCATCGGAAGTAGTATTTTATATCTCTTAATATCCTTTTCTGAAAAATATTTTTTTAATAATCGAAAAATACGTACTCTATATATTTATATAATTTACATGATCAGAGCAACAGTTCCCTGATAAGGATGCACCGACTAATAATTCCTGATTTACCAGAAATTCAGTGCTAATTTGTCTTTGATGATTCAGGTGACTTAGTTACCATATATATATATATATATATATTTATATCTTTATTCTAAGGGTTAAAGTGCACCCAGCACCCCCAAGTATTTTGTCAGGTGCATCCAGTGGCCTAAAGTAATTTATGGTGCAATTTTACCCTCAAAGTAATTAAAATGGTGCACTGGTATCCCATGCTAACAGATCTGTTAGTTTGACCGTTAAATTGATGAGTTAGCACAAGTTTGACCAGAAAATCTGACGTGGCATGTCTAATAAGCAGGTGATGTGGAATTTTTTCGGGGTTAAGGTGCATCCAGCACCCCCAAGTATTTTTTCCAAGTGCACCCAGTGGCTTAAAGTAATTTATGGTGCAATTTTGCCTTCAAAGTAATTAAAATGGTACACCGGTATCTTATGCTAACAGATCTCTTACTTTGACTGTGAAATTGATGAGTCAGCACAAGTTTGACCAAAATAATCTGACCTGGCATGTCTAATAAGCAGGTGATGTGGAATTTTTTTCATCTGCCACTGCTTTGTTTTCTCTGTTCAGTAAATGCTCTCTTCGGCTCTTGGAAATTTTTTTCAGAGTAAGAAATTTTTTCAGAGATACTCCTCTAGTCCTATTTATAGGGTAGAGAGAAAAGATATTTTTTGGTCCTATTTATAAGGCATTGAGAGAAATTTTTTGTATGGATGTACAAATTTACACCTCATTTATTATTGTATTGACTTTGTTTATATGAGGTATAATATATATTAAATAGGAATAAAGTTGGAAAGTTATTAAAATTTAAATGAGAGTTAATAAAATTTAGGGTTTTCCTTGGTTTGTGTGAAACATGCTGGAAGTACCTTATAAATAAGACTAGAGGAGTAATATTCAGACAAAACAATGAAATTAACAAGAAAAGCCATGTCACCTGCTTATTAGACATGCTAGGTCAGATTATTTTAGTCAAACTTGTGCTGACTCATCAATTTCACAGTCAAAGTAACAGATCTGTTAGCATGGGATATCGGTGCATCATTTTAATTACTTTGAGGGCAAAATTGCACCATAAATTACTTTAGACCACTGGGTGTACCTGGAAAAATACTTGGGGGTGCTGGATGCACCTTAACCCTGAAAAAATTCCACATCACCTGCTTATTAGACATGCCACGTCAGATTTTCTGGTCAAACTTGTGCTGACTCATCAATTTAACAGTCAAACTAACAGATCTGTTAGCATAGGATACCGGTGCACCATTTTAATTACTTTGAGGGCAAAATTGCACCATAAATTACTTTAGGCCATTGGGTGCACTTGGTAAAATACTTGAGGGTGCTGGTTGCACTTTAACCTTTATCCTAATTAAATTTTGTTAAAAGTATTTATTAATGACAAATATTATATGATTTTCGGATTCGAAGAATATGTTTTGTCTGTCGTTTTCTCCGAAAAATTCACTCGTTGTATTTATATGTGGCGCTTTACAACATTCCAAATCGTACCAATGTTTTTTACTGTTAAATGTGAATAATGACGATTCATTAAAATGACTGAACTTGCACAAATTTCCCATCAGAATATATAAACATATAAAACGACAACATATCACATATATTCCACATTTTTCCTTTTTGTCCCCTAAAGATACAAAACACAAACTATTGACCAAAGTTTTGGTGTAATAGCGACTTTACCCTTCTTTTCCACCATATCTTCACTACAAATCCTCAATAATCGAAATTCATAATATTAATTTTCTTTTCTTTTTTTTGGTAATCTACTAACGCAAGTTATGTATTTATAAACCACAAAAAAAAATGCCATTGCTATAATATTACTCGTTTCAAATAATAATACTTTCCAGAACTCGGTGCTTCAAAAGTAAGATTGTGGGTTAAGGTTCGAACCGTGTGATTTATATGTATGCGTGTAAACTAAGAAAATTAAGAAAGGAATTGTGTTAAATAGGATACTAGACCGATATAACAATTTTTTCAAAAAAAAAAAACCTTCATATATGTATATATTTCATCCCATTCTAAATATATCAGACTTGATTGAGAGGTTTGCTTTGATCCTAGATATAATATACTACTCATCTGATATTAATATATGATCCAATTGTTGAGTTGGTTTTGATCCTAAATATAAGACTCATTTCTATAATTATCAATTTTCTTTAAATTACCCTTATGGATACTCCCTCAACCATAATCAAGTAGAAGAGGAATAGGAAGTATTAAGAAAGATTATGATGATATTTTAGGAAAAACGTGTCACCTTTTTTAATTAACTAAGTTACCTAACTTTCTTAATCTAATCAAATTAGTTAAATATGTTTTATATTAAGGATCGGAGGAGTATTAATGTGCTTTGTTTGACAAATTTATATTATCTCTATTTCTTAATATAAGATTTATTTTGTGGTTTAAATCAAAATACAAATTAAATTTTATATTAAAGACCGAATATAGCAGTTGTTTTTCTAAATAATTATGATGATTTCAAACTAAAGGGTTTTTATCAATGATATAATTTTCTAGTGCAAATTATTAAATAATATATTTTTTTAAAAATAATACATATTATTATTTATTACAGATAAATAATTTAACTAATTTTTTAAAAATTATTATAAATTAATTATCTAATTTTTATATTTGCAACCAAAAGTTGTAAAGTCGCATTAAAAGGTAAAACCAACCTAACATGCATGCATAAAAAAATTCCTAATACAAGTAAAGCCAAGCTGCTTAGCCTTTATTGCTTTTACATACACATAGTACCCAAAAGAAAGTTCACATCATATCGTGCTAATCATTTGGTTTAATTTTGTTTCTAAGGCCCCACTCCAGTCATACATTTTTTGTTTTATGTTTTTCTTTTTATTTTGTAATTAAAAGAAAAAGAAAGAAGTGAGATAGGAAAGAAATGCCCCAAAACGACATGCCGTCTAAAGGGTGAGGATTGGATTCAATAGTCCACAGTCACAATATCCCCCCCGGCACACACAAAGCCCACTTCGCAATTTCCACCCTCCACCAAAAACCCATCATCGCCTTCTTCATCTTCTTCCTCCTCCTCCATGGAAGAAAAAGAGAAGACCAAAAGCAAGAACAAGAAGCAGAAGCACCAGCACCCCAACGATCAATCGTCTAAACCCTCCGATTTCTCCTTCAAGCCCAGCTCCGACGTCAAAGGCCTCCGATTCGGCGGTCAGTTCATCGTCAAATCCTTCACCGTCCGACGAGCCAGACCCCTTGAACTACTCAAACTCCTCTCTTACCCACCGGCTCCTAAGGACCTCCACCATAATAAGGTCCTTCCCTTCCCTTCCACCACCGCCTACTTGCCGACCAACTTCACCATCCTCGCTCACCAAGCTTGGCATACTCTCACGCTCGGCCTCGGTACTAACAAATCCAAAGTGCTTCTCTTCGTTTTCGACTCTGAAACCATGAAGGCCGCCGTCGATCGGACTTGGCCCTCTGAGATCCCTCTCGGCGATGTAAACAAGAAACTCATACGAGGCCTTTCCGGTTGCGAGATGGCCAGGTTTAAGTTCAGAAAAGGCTGTATTACTTTCTATGTTTACGCCGTCCGCCGTATCGGAAGCTTCGGTTTCTCGTCCTCGGAAGATCTCAGAGCGATTCTGCAATCCGTTGTTGCTCTTAAGGATTTCTTGGATCATACCACCATGCTCGCCATGCCTCACCAGAGAACCATCCGTTATCAAGACCCCGTAGCCATGGCCCACTAGTTTCCGCCATCATCGTCGTCTTCTCTTCCTTCTTCTTCCTCCTCACTGCTCCACTGTTAGCATTTTCTTGATTAGCTTTATTTTTCACCAGAATGATATTTTGGCCCCACCAAATAGGTACTTTTTCAATTTAGTCCACTGTGGATATTTTTTCAATTTAATCCTTCAGTTATTAGGTATTTGCAACAGTATGCCCTTTCTTCATATTTCCGGAACCAAATCTAACCATTCTCTTGACTTGAATGTGGGTTTGGTTTGTTTATCTAGAATGATAAATTCACCTACATATCAAATTGAGCATTCAAAGTCTCACAAGTGGCTTGGTTAGATTTGGTGTTAAAACAACATTGTTTGACTTGAATGTTGTTTTATCCATTTGGATATGCTCATTTACACCTCAAAATTTAACATTCAAGTCAACATAATGTCATACTTAATTCAGAATTTTGGGTATAAAGAAATTATGAAAAGGGGTGAAATTGCAAGTATTTAGTGATAGAAGGATTAAATGAGAGAAATGATATGTGGGGAGGACTAAGTGGAAAATTTTATCTGTTTGTAAGGGATTAATTTTTTTTGTTTTTTGTTTTGGGAGAGGATGGTTACTAATTATTGATTGATTTGTTGTTGATTTTGCTTGAGGTGTATTAATTCTTTGCTTTTTTTTTGGGGGGGGGGGTATTTGTAATTTGAGTATATGAATAATGAATAATAATGGGACATCATCATAGTAATACAACTCATTTTGGTTGCCCCTGTAGATTATGCAGAGATCACATTAGAAGCTAGCTAGTTGCTAATGGAAATGTGTAAAGTGAAAATTAAGCTGTTTAATATCTGTAATTAAAATTATTAGAAATTAATTATTTATTAAAAATGATTAAAAATAACTGAAACAGTGTTCATGATACTATTCTAGTTATTAGAACATGTTTTCCCCCCTTAATTTTTATTGATAGAATTATTTAATACTACGAGGTAATTAGACTTTGTTTATAATGTAGCCTTACATAGCATTTAGCGTATCAGTTAATCAATGAGACAAAAACTGTCCATAATTAATTAAATATTCTAAAATGGCACTCTCTTCTGTAAATTGTGCAGCAATGGATCTGATCCGTGAAGAACTGCATCTGCATGTGATCAAATACAATTCCGTATATTTAAAATTTATTTATGAAATTACAGCAAACAAAATGCCAAATTTTCTCGAAATGTTGGAAAGCTCTTCTGCACATCAAGTAAAAAGGAGGGTGAAATTTGGTGAAAAGTTTTTATTTGAGAAATTTATTTGCCAAAGAGATATCATGCATATCATTTTCAACGGTGCAGAAATTAGAAGAAAAGAAAGTTGTTTACATATAATTAAAGATATGTTACACAAAATTAAAGAAGAATTCTACCCGTTCAAATTTAGGTGCCTACTAATAAATTTCACCAATAAGGACTTTTCACAAAATTTCCCTAAAAGATTAGATGCTTTTTAAGTTTTTAAAATGTAATTTGGTTGATATTTTCCTCAATAATGCAAATTCCCTTGAATAAAAAAGGAAGTTCACGATCACATGACTTAAAAGATGTACATCATATTAGCAAAATTATGCAAAAAAATAGTAATTTTTTTTAAAACACAAATTAAAAAATTATGTAACTTAAATTACAAAATGGCTAAAAGCCAAACCCAATCAACGGACCTGGCTTTGTTGAGTAGATTGGAATGGAAAAATAAAGCAAAATGGGCAATGTGTGTGTGGAAGTTATTAAAGCTGTATGGTTCACAAAAGAGAGAAGGTGGGGGCAAAGAAGAAAGTCACACTTGGTTGCACCCACTTGTGGCTTTAATCATAGCAAGAGAAGGACCCCATAAGCTTTTGGTTTCACAAGTATCATACACATGTCTGTCTCTGGATCCACCTTTTTACCTCTTTCATTTCATTATTTATTACCTTTCTTTTATATTACAGTACTACTCACACACCCAAAATGATATTACATGCTATTATGAAGCTCAACTCTACAAAAATGTATGCCTGACACCTGTGAATAACCTAAGTGCAAGGGTAGATTGGTGTGTGAGTTTTACTCTTTCGATTCTAAATATAAGAGTTAGTCAAGGAATTGGTCCATTTTTTATAAGTATAATATCTCGACTCATTTTATCTCTGATACATACAGATTTTTTTTGGATTTTATTTATAAGTCATATAATTATAATTAAATTTTTCATATAAATGTATGATTTTACCTTTCAATTGTGTTTTCCTACTGGTGGCCTGTGGTTATGCGTGCGAGGCTCATTATCCTCTTGGGTTGTTTATTTCTTTATGATCACTAGATTTCTTACATACACTGGGTTCTCTCACCAAAGCAGTTTGGGTTTTCTAAGGAAGCTAGAAATGATGTGATGACATGGAATGGACATGCTCATGGCAACTTTACTATTAAAAGTGCCTAATGGTTTGCTCCACAAATTTCCCCTGAATTCTTACAGCCCGGTTTGCAGATCTACTTGGAAATGGTCTTTCATAATAGACTACCCACAAATGCTTGCCCAAGTGTATGGTCTCCCACTTCACCCATATGTGCTTTTTGTGACGATGGAGTGGAAGATGTACTTCATGTTCTAAGAGACTGTTCTTAGGCAAAACAAATATGGATGTACCTTGGTCACCCGATGTATTATTCTCAATTATTTTCTTTCTGCTTCACTAAAGGATTGGATTTCTTTAAATATGTCTAGAGAATTAGCTAGCCATATTGATTCTGGATGGAATTTATTATGGGGAGTGGCTGTTTGGTTTTTAATGGATATGAAGAAATAGTTTTTGTTTTGATGTTCAATTTCAAAGACCACTATCGAGGTGCTGTTGAACAGGACTATGGAATCATCCTGTAGTTCTGTTTTTATGGAAATCAGAAAGCTTATGGAATTCAACTGAGATATCACAATTCAACTTGTTGCTACAGAGCAAAACACTGGTGATGATGCTTTAGGCAAAGAGGGACTTTCTTCTACCTCCCTTCTTGATGGTTGTCCTCCTCATCGGAGGGCACTTTGTCTTAAAGATTGTATGGGATCTAATCCCCTCTTAGTCTAGTTTTTTTTTTTTTTCCGGACTTTTTGCCCTCTTTTATGTTAGGAAAAAAAATATTAATCCCTATAATTCAATAAAAGCCTAAACCATCAAAATCTATCATTTGAAACTTAATGGATTAAAACTAAAATGAAGGCAAATTTAAGGAACCAAAGATTATATTAACTTTTTCATTATTCTACAATTTCTTTTTAGTTTTTAATGATCGTTTATGTCTTACAATTTTCGCTTCTTCAGAAAATGTACAGGAGACAGGCTGGTTTATTCTGCAAGTTTTCCGTTAATTTAACAACTTTTTTTACTCAATTTTCAAATATATTCCATTTGATCATTAGTATAGAATGCGTCTTTCATTTTGTCCTTTATAACAAAGTTCCGCTAAATGTATATATACACATTCTCTTTGGTACTAAATATAAGACATATTTTCTAGAATAAATTGAGAAATATGTTTTGCTAGGAGCATGTATCTTTTTATTAGAAGTAATTCTATTTGAAACATTATCTGACACTAAATGTAAGTACCTCTCTTAATGGAGATTTAAATTTTGATTCATTATTTTTTTTTGGTTTCCTACAGTATCCTTCCACCCGAACAGTAAAAGACTTATCTCTCGGGGTACTGGCAGGCAGCAGGGACCCCTCCCAACAATGTTTTTCTCCATACACACCGTCCCAAGGATCGAACCCAGGACATGATGATTAAGGTTCCAAGTCCCTTCCACTTAGACTAACACTTGTTGGTAATTTTGATTCATTATATTGTGAAGGACTAACTCTTCCTATTAAACCCAACTCTTATTGAAAATGTATATTTTTATGTTTAAGGAACATGCCACTCTAGTTTAGTCATGGAATGAGTCCAATGGGCCAATATTGAGTCTAACCCTGGAAGAAAGCATCTCCAACCTGCACACCAACATTCACTGGAAGGAAAACCCAATATTCCATTTTTTCATACCCAATATTCGAATCGGCAACACATTAGCAATCGACTCTTAAATTTAAGCCCACGGGCTATTATTAAAATAAAAGAGTTGAGATTTTTTTGGGCTCTTTTGCCAATAAATAAAAGTTGATTTAGTTAGTTATGAGTTTAAATTCTACTGTAAATATAAATATCTTATTAGTTTATAATTTGTAAGTACCTATATAAACATTCATTTAAGTTTGAAAGCATGCACTAATCTTAATAAGTTTCAGTACTCAACCCATTTAAATTATTTTTACCAAATTTTCTATTTATTTACTCACAATAGATATTTTCCCACGGCTTTTATTATGCAAACCATATCTCGTTCTACTATAGACAAGCCTATTTTGCATGGCTTTATTTCTTGGAATATTAAAAAATTTGAAAGAATGTTATATTGATACAAGATGTGGAGAATTTTTTTTTCTTTTGCCTCAGACGATGTATACCCCATTTGGAATCATGTTAGTAAGCATTTATAAGCACGTTTTACGTAAGTAAAGATAAAATTTTCTCACATGTTTATCTCATATTTCGTAAATCATGATTAAAAAACTGCTTATAAATCATTCTAAAGAGGCTTGTAAAAAATGAGAATCAATTGTCATTGAAAATTTAAGGATAGGGCAAAAATTCAAGTCAGGTTAAGTATATAAGGACGGAATAAGTACAACAAATTTACATTAATAAGAATAAATTATCCTACGTGTATGATTAGTTCACATGTCTGAACGGCATTGAAGGAGAATAGTTGAGATTTAAAAATAATCATGGTAAATGGTAAATTAGATATTTGAAATCCTAAAAGAATTGTAATTCAAAATTTGCTTGGTATCCAAATCCACAAAATTTCATATATCTTTTTTTTTTGTGTGGATAAAACGTCAATTTTATTCAAACACAATCTAATAATAGGTTAATAAAAAAATAACATGATAAAAACATAAAAGAGATAAGCTACAACATAGAAACGAAAGCAGTCCTGAATCCAACTGTAGTTTTCAAATCTTGCCAGTTTTATCCAAATGATGAATTTGGTCTAAATCCAAATCTAATTCCCACTAATCGAAACATCACACTCGGTAATTCTCCACTAATCCAAACATAATTTTGAAGAGAGAAAGTCGAACTTGTTTTAGTGTTTTGACATTTTACTTGGGCACTTTTATTTACAACTTACTCACCCCAACAAATAAGCTCTACGAAAATTAATCAGTGCGTTTTTTTTTAAAAAAAATAGAAAGGCTATTTCAACCTTATTTCACATTTTTTTTGTAAATCTTATTTTGCCACTTATTACGGCATATTACTATCTCCGGTTCTAATTATAAGAGCTAATTGACTAATTTGAGGAGATTAAAAAAAAGTTAAGTTAGTTATTTGTAATAAATAAGTGTTATCTTTTTCTAAAATATCCTTGCTAATCAAGTGTATTGGCTAGAATTACTTTTGTTAAAAGGATTATTTTGGAAAAATAAGTATAAATATGAGAGACAAAGTGGACTGAAATTTTATATTTAGGACCAAAATAAAAATCAAACAAGGTCTTATATTAAGGATCGAATGTAATATTATGTTTTTGTGAATACATTCATAAAATAACTGAAAATATAAATTTTTAAATATCTTCAGTGCTGATTATAATTTTCATTAGTAAAAAATGATTATACATAACTCAAACTTTATGCATTAATACAAATAATAAATTTTTAGTCAATAAATAGGACCATTTTCCGTTGAATAACCATTAACAATTCTACTTGGCCAGGCCAAAAAATTTTTTGGGAAAATTGAGGAGAAGGACCTAAAAAAATTAGTATTTATGGAGAGGGATCTTAAAAATTATAATTAATTTGAAGGACCAAAAATTTAAATATGAATTTACAATTACAAAATTATCCCTAACCAAATCTCTACATTATCTCCAAGACCCATCCCGATATTTGACTATTAGTTATCAATTGAAATATAAATTTATAATTACTAAATTGCCCCTCATTAAAATTAAAAACTAAATACAGCAATTAACAAAAAATAAAGTCCTATTTTTCAGTCATTCATATCTGCATCTACTAGTCTTTCATTCCAATATAGCTGGAAAAATTTCCAGCTTGCGTAACTGTGATTTTGCCCCTCATTCCGATGTGGTTGGAAAAATTATTAGTGAAGCTTAGGCTACGAAGGGGTACTATTTACTTGATTTTCATATTTTGGTTAACACAAAGAACTATATTTATATTCATCTAAGAAGCTTTGTATAGGTGGTGAGATTGTGTTCATATGTATATATAGTTAAGATTGAATGAAGGTACAAATATATACTTTTATATTCATCCAAAAAATCTTTATATAGAGGCGATGAGAAAATTAGAAAACATTCGGTACAAATAAACTAAAGGAGGGAAAATAATGTTTAGAATATACATACCGTCCAATAAATAGTCTGCTAGTTGATTCTTTTTAATTTGTCTTCTTTGTTCTGGATTTACAAGAAGACAATTGTTATTGATAAAAACTTTGGGTGCATCAAAAAGAGATACAGAAAGAAAGAGAGAGAAATCAAGTTCAATTGATAATTAATTGTTAAATTGAGATAGAAGGGTGTTGGAGATAATGTAAAGATTTGATAAGGGATAATTTGGTAATTATAAAATTTTATTTTAATTTTTGGTCTTTCAAATTAATTACAATTTTTAATATCCCTCTTAATAAATACTAATTTTTTTAGGTCCTTCTCCCTAATTTTCCCAAATTTTTTTGGTCAAAAGCCATTGATAATTTAATTTAATTTAAAACATGACGTATATTTTAATTTTTAAGGAATCAAAATAACATAATATTAAAAACGGAATATCAAAAATACAAAATAATGCACAAAAACTACCCCGATAGCACAAAAACGAAACGGAAACTCTTGGGGAGGAGTCAAGATTCAGCTGCAACCGCTTCCACCACGGCGCCGCGTCCCTCGTCCTTCTCCTCCATGCGTCAGGGTTTCCAGTGCTGCAGTTAGCCTTCGGTTCCTCACATCATTTGTTCAAACCTGCGACCGTGGATCAGAGTCCAAATTAATGCAATTTTTCTGATCCATGCTGGTTTGCTTCAAATGATATTGGACTGAATTCAACACTTCAATGTGATATTTCAATCCCTCCCTATTTTCGTTGTGTTAACTCTGGGAATCTTTTCTCTCCTTTGGTTTCATATTTTTTTATCATAATGTGATTGAATTGTGTTCGATTTCTTCTTTTTCTGTGTTTCCAGCTATATTCTATCCTGTGACTTTAATGGGTATGGAATGGATGATAAGGTCATAAATTTATGAACTTTTCATAGTTCTGTGCTCTTGTTAGTCTCCAAGTTTGTGATTTGAAAATTCAAGTTGGAAGTTCTGTTTCCTATTTATGATTTTAAGCCGCATGATTTGCTTACCTTAAAGTTGACGATTGTTCTGGCCAAAAAAATAAAAAATCTCGTGTGAGGGATGGGAGTGGATCTCCTCCTGTTCGAGAATGTTAACTGCGGGTGAATTGCCTCATTGCCATCCATTAAATTGATCCATTGGACTAGCAATTTTATGGACATGTTGGCGATTTTCTCAGTATTTATTCTTGGCATCTTCTTCCTCATTTGAAAATTCAAGCTTCATCCGTATGCTTTTTGGACTCCTCTTTTGATTTAAATATTTTTTTTAAAAAAATCACCAGGCTTCCCTTTTTCGATCCATATTGCTTCTCTAACATAATATTTAAACGTTAGAGTTGTTTTTCATCATACTGGACCCGGGAAAAGCAATTTTCCTATTTCTCAAAAATCAACCAGAGTATAATGCTAGTTTGGGAAGTAAAGGTGTTTCATCCTTTAAACCTTCATATCAATCCAACGAAAGAAAGTTAGACAATTGACCCGCAATTGAGGCTGCACCGGAGGGATCCGCATCATATGAGGGATAGTATTCCTTAGATGAGAACCAATAAGACATTTCATAAAAGAGATTACTTTGTTTCATTACGTAGTTACTGATAGCTGGATTATACAAGGACCCACCAACCTTCAAATATGATGTTTTTCCTATAAGATATTTTGATATGTTACTTGTTGTGCTGGATCTGAAAATGGATGGTAAAATTATCTCAAAACATATTTCAATGCAAATCATGATTCAGCATTTGTAGATTGTAGGGCATTTGTACATTTGATAACCTGACAACTAAGATGTTTATTATTTATCAAATGCACTTACTTAGATGCATTTTTAGTGTTTGAATGTGTACAATTCATGCCATACGGATCCTCCTTGGTGAATCTTATTTGTAATGCTTACTGTCAACAGTGTAGGCTGACCTATTTCATACATAATAAGGGCAACATATATACAATAACTGCTGCAACCTGTACAGCACCCGAAGGAATGGAATCTCTGTGGACAATGGTTGATCTTTTTGTGATGTTATTCCTGGTTGCAGTAGTAGGATTTGCCTCTGCAATAGTCTTTGAAGCATATAGAAGAAGAAATAACCATGAGTATGTTCAGTTAAGTTATTTTAAAAATGGAGTTATTAATTCTATTTCTCATTGCAATCTTTTATTATAACAATAGGCATGTTGAAGGTGCGGCTATTTTTGAGGATCCCAATTCATTGAAACAGGTTAACCACTTACTTTTGTGTGAAATCAATATCTTCTTTTGGTGTTTCATACGGATAGCACACGGAAAAGTGCGCTTTCTGAACTAGTAAACAATAAGTATTAACAATGTTGAAATATAATAGCTTGACTAGGAAAAACCATGGTATTTAGCTCATTCTGAAGAATCTGTGCCGTTGTTGATGCCCTGTGGTGTGTCAATGTCCATGGAGTGCATGCTTCTTTTTCCCTTCTCTCATGGTTCACTATGGCCACTCGTTCTTTGTTAATGTTTGATATTTTGTTTGAATATTCCTTGATAACTCGAAGGAAAGTAATCTAGAACCCTTATAGACAAAGAATAATTTAATTTTAACTTTGCTATGTAAAACTGTCATGTGTTAGGGATTATTATAAAGCCAGGCTTTCAATTCATAGCGCTAGCTTTTAAGTTGAAATGGTTTTTGAGACGATTTCAAAGCCTTGTGACCGAATGGTTATGAATTTGACTATAACTGACCCTGTTCGTCATAATGACAAGTTTAAAGTGATATTTTGGCCCCTGTTCTTCTGAATCACACTTCAAGCCCATAGGCCTCCATGTGAGTTAAAAAGAGATTGTAATAAAACTATTCGTAGGTCATAATTTAACAGCTTAAAATTTTGATTTACCATGTCTCTGGCAATATATATTAATGCTCATTTATAAAAATCATAAAGGATTAAACTTTCAAGATAAAGTATGTTATAAGCAATAAACTACTCATATTCACACCAATGTTAAGGATCATATGGGAAATATTTCATGCATTTATATTTATAACTCATTCTATTGGTGGAATAATTAGAATAATTATTTTAAGTATGCACATCAAATAACTATTAGTTGGAATAGAATAATCAATTATTTTCTTCTTTTATTTATATGATATTTTTTTAATTTGGTTTTCATTTGTGTTGGCTGTGAAGTTAGGTAACATTTTAAGAGGATGAATGTTTGATATATGAGTTGGCTGAGTCTTCTGACTGATTCTTGCTCTGTATATTTAGGTTCCTTGCCCACACATTGTTGATCCAGCAACGAAGTATATGTCTTTAATAATTCCTGCATTTAATGAGGAGCATAGGCTTCCCGCAGCTCTTGATGAAGCTATGAAGTAAGTCGAAGCATGCCTTTTTATCAACATTATGATATCAGCAATAGAAATTGGACTCAATTATTTTAACTTATTGGTCTGTGTTGGTCTTCCTGTCATTTATTTTGCCGTTATGTATGTGTAATAAAATACAATCAACCTATTGGGAGTCTGCTGATGTGTCTGTGTTAATTAGTATAGCTGAATTTGTTTACATGTCACTTGTCACATAATATGGTATTAGCAACACATTTATTCCCCTGCCTTCTAGTCGGACTTGGAAAAGCTCCAAAAAGATCAGTAAGATAAGCAAAAGTAACCAACAAGGGGATATTTAGAATTCATATAAGATAAAACATTTAAAAGTCTATGTTCTTTCTTGATTATTTCAGATACCTATTCTGATGCACTTATTCGTTATTATTGCATATTTGTGTAGTTTAGTACTTGTTAGTATGGTGTGTTTTGTTGTTTAAGGTATCTTATTCTGAGAAGTAATGGAGTCTCTCCTGTTTATGGCTATTTATGAGGATTGCTGTATGGAACTATAGTGATATTTATGACTTTACTTTGTAGTTATCTTCAACAACGTGCCTCAAAGGATCCTTCATTTTCATATGAGGTATCATCGGTTTCTTTACACAATTCCTCATAACTTTAGGAAAGTTCTCCGCGTGCTTCTATTCTAACTGCCGTATCTCACTTATGATGCATAGTCAGTTTAGTGCTTACTTTTTAAAGCTCCACCTCAGGAGGCAATTTTCTTCCAATAATATACTCGTTCTTATGTTCTCCTATGATATCCATGACCTTCGTGTTTAAGAATGATTGAAAGCAAGTTGAACATGTCATCATGAATTGCACAGATAAATTTGAAGATCTTATATTGGCTTTAAATTCTAGAAGTTCAATAAGTTCCAGATAATTGAGATTTTATTCCAAGTTCAATTGGTTAATGTTTCTATGACACAAGAAATGGGCCACAGTATCTAGTGCTGGTGCCTCTTCATGTCATGCCTTAATTGAGCATGTAAGATTTAAAGATAAGGCACAGAATTCCAGGTACAACTTTTTGAATAAGAGGTACATTGGGTCTTTTTTGTTATGTTGATCAGGCTGTCTTGACCCAATTTCACCCTTTGGAGGAGTTTATGTGACTAGCCTGCATTGAGTAGGAAACCCTTCTTTAAGGATTTGACTCTAGAGTGTGTATGTTGATTTTCCTTAAAGTTCTGTGCCATATATGGAAGGATCAAGGGCAGATTGAGTTTAAACCATTTGGCTAAGATCGCTGTGTACTTAGTAGTGCAGTTGAACCACATCCTTGGCTTTTATGATTATGGGTTGGGCATGGCACTTGCTACTGTTAGCCCAACATACACTGGGAAATTAATTAAGCACTCGCATACACATGTGCACTGCTTAACTGTCCACTCTCTACTCAGGTGCGGTGAGAGCATTGGGATGGGTAATGCAACTGAAGTTTTCTTTTTAATTGTGCATGGATGAGGACAATATTGGTTGTGGAAACATCTACAACATGTTGCCAGGATAACATGGATAGGACCGTGGTCAATGGACTCATCACATGTGCTGGTGTACAGCTCATAGTTTGAGGGTTTTTGACCCTGAGAACTATGTTGTTACCTGCATTAAGGGTAATGAGCGGGTTGGTTTTGTGCTTTTGATTTCTACTAAGTTTAAGGCCAGGTGGAATAGTGTGTTGTGTCAGCTACATGAGGTTGGGGCACATGTCCTTTTTTATAATTAATTTAGTTAATCAATCTCCTGTCTTTGCTATTGGTTAATTAGTCTATCAAACATATCCACCTTCCTTGCTAGATGTTATCGTACTCTCATTATATTATGTTACTTGTATAACCTGTATGCTTGTTGAAAATCATCACAGAATGGCATAAATAAAAAGGTGTAATTTTTTGCATGAGTTTTATTAGCGTCAAGAAAACTAGAGAAGTACTCTTCATGTCTATTCAAAACAAACTATGATAAAGAAATATGAATTTCGTTGCCCAACTTGTCTTCCACCATATGATTTTGTTGAGATCAGACTCAACTAAGACACTGAAAGGCTATCCAAATATGCATGTTCTCTTTATTTATGAAAAATCATTTCAAAACTTAGGTGAAGGTACAGAAACATAGCCACACGCTAAAGGGGAAATAATTAAACAGCTCCCTACACACTGGTATCTTAATTCCCTGAGATGCTTCTTGGGTTTCGATGTTATTATCCTTCCTCCTAGTGCAAGCCTTGTAGGGCTTGGCTCTCCTAACATAAGTCTGACCTTCCAGCCCCTTATGTCCATCAAATTTTTGAATTTTCCTGTGCTCTCTAGTATTTATTTTGAATCAATGTATGCTTGTGCAGGTTTTGATTATTGATGATGGAAGTTCTGATGGGACTAAAAGAGTAGCATTTGATTTTGTGAGGAAATATACAGTGGATAATGTGAGAGTTATTCTTCTTGGAAAAAATCATGGCAAGGGAGAAGCAATCAGAAAAGTGAGTTTAGTTTAAACAATTAAAGAAATCTCTCCTTATGATGAATGCCTGCGCATCATTGTCTGTGCTCATTGACAATTCATTAATGCCTTTTAGTTCTGAAAGCATTGTATTACTGCAGGGAATGCTTCATTCACGTGGTGAATTACTTCTGATGCTGGATGCTGATGGAGCAACTAAAGTTACTGACCTAGAAAAGCTTGAAAATAGGGTTGGTGAAATTAGCATGATCTGTGGTTTTCTTAGGTTTGCTTATAATTATTTTTTTATTTCTTCTTCAATATGTTGATATGCAACTTGCTTTAAGTTTTGTTTCTAAACATTCAGATCCAAGCTGTTGCAAAACAAGAGTTTAAGAGCGGAGATTCAGCCACTAGTGATTCAAGTTTTAGAATATCTGATATCCCCATTGCTGCGTTTGGTTCAAGGGCTCATCTAGAGGAGAAGGCTTTGGCTACAGTTCAGTGTTGCCATTCTTAATTTTCTTTTAATCTTTGTCACATTTGTCTTGATCATCTTGTTTAAACCATTTAGCTTTAATATTTCCAGAGGAAGTGGTACCGTAATTTTTTGATGAAGGGTTTCCATCTTGTGGTTCTCTTGGCTGCTGGTCCTGGAATTCGTGATACCCAGGTAACTTCATTTAATTTTTGACCTCAGTCTGGCACCACTGCACTCTTATGACCTATTGACCTGTATATGGTTCTCCCTGTATCTAGTAGCTGGCCTTCTAGAACCTTCTTCAGCAATGATTATTTGCATACTGATTGCTTATCAACTTTAATATGGTTCAGTCTTCGCTTGCATAATGCCTGTCTTTTGCCCCCATGATTGTGTCGGTTTTCATTGCTCATCTTATTGACTTTGTACCTACAGTGTGGTTTCAAAATGTTTACTAGGGCTGCAGCCAGAAAGCTTTTCACAAATGTCCGCTTAAGGAGGTAATGACGCCTAATCTCTACTGAATACAATAACTTCTTGAGTTGTTTTAAAGGGATAGATGGAGAAATAATTCAAGATTGGTAATTTTTAATTGTTATAATTGCTTGTAAAGTCCAATCTTCTGTAACTACCTCTTTTGATTTGTATGTGATATTTAAGAAGTGTATCTGACATCAACCGTATTCTAAGGGTCTTAATGGTATCTCCTTGTTATAACTTATTGAATGCTTTCCCTTTCTAACATTTCTCTGAGCACATATTTTTGTAATTTTGCTATGTTTATTGATGGGCTTGTCTTTTCTTGTCTTGAATGCCAGAATCACCCCCCCCCCAAAAAAAAAAAAAACACACACACACACACAAAAGAAAAAGGATGTAAGAATTTCCGCTATTGATATCTGGAGCATATTTGGACTTCAGGTTTTGTGAAAAATCCATACGTTCAGAATCTTCCGCTTTGCTACTGCCTTTTCCCCTTTAGTGAGGACAAATTTATCTTGTCAAACCCCCTAATGTTGATCAACAGTGTTGCCTTTTCCTCTGCCAATTGTCTTTTTCATCTTTTGGTATGTTGGTCACCTTTGGGGTTGAATTTGAGGTTAATTTCCTTCCCATAAGCCTATTTACATGCTGCAGCTATTCTATGTCAGCAGTTAAGCAATAAAAAATGTATGTCGACTATAGTTAAACATGGTTATTGAATACAAATTAGTGGTCTGAGTGGCATGTCCTAACTGGTTGTTCGGCTGACTACGTAGTATGACACCTTCAATATATGAGTGAGCCATTGGTCGATGATGATTTTTGGACTTGCACTGGACTTTAATAAGCAAGAGTTGGTCTATCGTTTTTAATTTTCTGGTGCTTTTTGTTAATGGGGCTGGTATCTATTTTCTGCAGGTGGTGCTTCGATGTTGAATTAGTCTACCTATGCAAATGGTTTGGAATCCCAGTTGCGGAAATTTCTGTGAATTGGTCTGAGATTCCAGGATCCAAGGTGAATCTATTGAGTATTCCCAACATGCTATGGGAGCTTCTGTTCATGTCTATGGGATACAGGTCTGGTATGTGGAAAATTTCTGCATAAGCTTTTGTGCTGTACGTTAGTGTTTTAACATCAGATATACAGTGTTAGATTATAAGAAAACAGAAGATTATTCACTCCCTTTTTAAGTCTTTGGGGCAACAACTATATTTAAATGTTTATAGGTGAAGCCTTAGCATAACCTTCAGACTCAGACTCTATTAGGTTTCGGCAGCAAGGTCTTAATCTTTGAACGAGGTGGAGATTTTGAACGATTCATAGTTGTTTGTGTTGAATTAGAGGAAAGTATTCTAACCACACTTGTTAATCTTATGTTTTTTGACGTTAGAAAAGGTTGCAACTGACCAAAGCGAAAATAAGTGTTGGTTTGGTTTAACGAATCAGAATGAATGTAATACTCCTCGTATCCTTAATATAAGATCTATTTAACTAATTTGATTAGATTAAGAAAGTGAAGTAAGGTAGTTAGTTATAAAAAATATGACATGTTTTTCTTAAAACATTATAATAATCTGTCTTGATATCCTCTTTCCTTCTTCTACTTGATTATGGTTGAGGGAGATCTATATGGGTAATTTAGAAAAAATTGATAAATATGAGAAATAAATCTTATATTTAATATTAAAATCAACTTAATAATTAGATCTTATATTAAAGATAAGAGAATGTAATAATAAAAACTATGATGTAATGTAATAATAAAAATCAAGACAGATTGAGGATGAAAATGAAAACAAGCGGAAATCTCTAGCATTGGTTCGACAACATGATTGTATTCTACCATCATTTACTTTGCCCAACAATGGAAATGATGGTGGAATGTTATCAAGATTACGCGCAATCGAATGGTTACATTCCAATTAATATTATCTTCACTTTTAATTATAAGAGCTAATTAATTAATTTGAATAGATTAAAAAAATAAGTTAAGTTAGTTATTTGTAATAAATATGTGTTGTTTTATAAAATATCTTTGTTAATCAAATATATTAACTACTACTATCATTCTTAGAAAGACTATCTTGGAAGAAAAATACATAAAATATGACAGATAAAATAAATGAGGGTCTTATATTTATGACCAAAATAAAAGTCAAATAAAGTCTTATATTAAGAATTGGGAGTAATAATAAAAGAATAGTTATTCTCAAATTAATAATTAAAGAAAGAATTACAATGAGGTTGCGAGAAAATAAAATAATTACTAGTAAGTCTTAATGACAAGTGACCATTATGACTTCTTACTAATTATGTTTTTTTATTTGGGACTTCATAGTAATTTTTCCAATTAATAATTGCAATCAATTGTTGCAAAAAATGAACACTAACATTTTAAGTAGCAAATCATTGCAAGATGCAATTCTTTCCAGGAATTCCAAGTGGCAATCATATGTAATTCAGGGGACATGAATGATTGTTTCGGACATAACGTTGGATCAGAGCTCATTTAAAAGGATCTTAACGCGTGACAACCAAGAAGGAAGGTATCAAGGTATCAATGCTACGACTAAGAAAATTGACAGAAAAATTAAACATTTGGTGAAAGTGATATGATGGGTGGTATTACTGTTGGAACAATTAGCTGTTGACAACTAAAGTAGCGTATTTATAGGTGATGCCAACCCCGACGCCAATGCAATTGCAAGAATTGTGGAGAAAATATACATAATTAACAATAATATTTTAAAAAAATAATACTTACTTATTATAAATAACTAATTTTTTTAATATTTATATATTAGTTATATATCTTTTATATTAATAAAACAGTACGTAGTATTTTGTTCTTTTATATTACCGGAGAAATATTAAACCAAAGTTACAGCATCTTTTCCAAGAATCATCCCAGTATCGACCAAAGTCTTCTAGAAACATGAATGCCAGTCCAAATTCAAAGCGTGATTAGCCATGAAATTGCGATTAAAACAATACCATTCTCTTATAAAACCCATATATGAGAATTTGAGTAAAAGGGAAGAAAAGAATCTTTAATTCATCACATTGAAGTCCGTTAGAAAGGAAATATTTGCATTAAAGTACTCTAAAATCACTCTGCAAGATCAAGTGACTAAACTGAAAATAAGTTTTATGTGTGAAAGGGGACTTTTCTCAAAATGCTACAGACAGTAAAATAAATTACTATGATGCTATACTATGAAAAATATTTTCCTAAATGATATATTTAAACTTGTTCACCATAAGAACGAGTTTGAATTTTCAAAGAAGTTGTTCAAGAGGAAAATGAGTTTCATGTGTGACAAATTTTTTGTTTTTAACAAAATCAAAAACTCGTTCAAAGCATGAATGAGTTTAGCCTGTTAGCCGCCTCTTCTTTTTCTCTTTTATTTCAACAAATTTACAAACAAATACCCATTCCATCGACACATTCCTTTTTCTTTAGTCTTAGGAGAGAATTGTAATTAATGACCCCGCTCCTTCTCAACAACCACTTCATTCTATATTTCCAACAAAATGAAACAATACTATTATATTTTACATTTCACAAGATATACAAAAATATAAATGAATTTTGCTTTATATCCTAATAATTAAGTTTTAAAAAAATATATAAACTTTGAATTCTTAACCATGATCAACTGAGCTAGCTTGCTTTAGGCGGCTTTGGTAATTAGGGTGTACTGTACAGCAAGATAAGTTATTTTAATTTCAAAATATTTTTCAATAAAACTGAATGAAATATTTTATTTTGTATTGTATAAAAATGCTGTTAGTAAATCATTTGTTACTTTCATTATTAATCATATTAATCATACTAAAAGGTTAAGTGATTATGACGTCATTTTATTGTAATTAATCCTCAGCAGTGTTGTTAATATAAGTAAATGACATTATTAACTATATTTTCAAGATTTGCATATTTTGGCTGATTTAACCTATAAAATTTTTAGAGAAAACTTAGAAATTCATATTGGCTAAAATTATATCTTGTAAACAAATATTTACAATATATACTTAGATGCCGCATGTATCAAGACAGCCTTATCATCATTTAATGAACATTTAATTATATTAATTCAAACACGTTTAATTTTTAGCTAATGGACAGATCCAAAGTTAAATTATGAATATTGTTAAAATTTACACCCCTACTTAATAATTACACATCTAAAAGTGATCTATTGTGATTTATCATATATCTAAACAAGCTGCAATATGCTAAGTTAAACTGAATTTTTTCTAAAAAAATTCAAGTATTTTATGAATATTATCAAATATGGATGTCCATCTCCTCTTTCTCTTCAACTTTATCAACTTCTACTACTTTCATTAGGCATTAATCTTCTATTACTCCATTACTTTTTCACTATGCCTTCAATCTTGTAACTCACCCTCCACTCACATTCATGTAGTTTATTATTCACTATCATCATTTAAGTACAAATGTAACTTATGTGCAAGACTATGCCTATAAATAGGGCATGCCATTGTATTGTGATGTAAATGAAACAAGTGAAGGAATACAATATCATTTTCTCATTTTTTTGTCTACATCTCTTTCCCAATCTACTGTATTTGTTGGTTAATTTCATAATATGTTATTAGCACGAGACTCTACTATCTGAGTTCATGGCTTCTAGATGATACACGTCGTTGATGTTTTGTTCATTAAATAAAGATAGTTTGATCTGATTAGTTTGGTAAGATTTCTCTAATTTATTTCATTGTATTGAGATGTGAAAATTTTTATTTTTAGTTCTTCCTTTTCTCATATTTTCTTGATTCTACTGTTCTTATACTTCTTAATTTGCTATAAAGTTTATTTTTATCTATAACATTACTATATATGATTATCATCTTCGATATTAGTTAATTGTTGTCTTAGAAAATAAAATGTTAAACATATAAATGAATGGCTAATAGCCATTGTATTCTTAATTTTGTGATTAGATGACCAGAAGCCATCTCATGTTTTAATGATTCTTCGATTAAAAAAACCATCTTATGGTTGTAACAAATGGCATGGTAAGATTGTCACAATTTGATAATCTATATCAAAATCTTAAAGATTGATGGTCTAAAAAAAATTAAATGATACCAAAAAACTTCATAGTTTTGAAAATTTTGTTATGGTCCAAAAGACTAATATTTAAGAAAATTGATGGCGTGCTATTGAAAGCAAGAAATATATTCATAAGAGTGATAAAGAGTATGATCACATTGTATTAGTGAAACTAATAACTAAAAAGGCAATAATCTTGGGGCTTGACTATTGAATCTGTAACATCTCAAAATTTATTTAGGTTTTAGTGTTTATGGTTAAACAATAACAACAACAACAACAACAACTAAAATAAGTAGATTATTCACTGCTCGAATCTCATCTTAAAAGATTAAAGAAAATAAGTGATTTAGGAGAGAATCACATTATATAAAATTATATGTGTAGTAAAAGGGGGAATTACAATCAAGTCCCATAGAAGAGAAATAATTATCAAAAGGTCCTAATAACAACCTCAACAGTCTATAATGACAAGTCTTATAGTGACAATGACAACCTCTGGGACTTATTTTTCAATTGTTTTTCTTGTTTGGGACCTCATTATAATTCTCCCTTAAAAAAAGGGGATAAAAATTAATGAAATATATGCCAATAAGTATATATATAAAAATAATAATAAAGTGAAACGAAATAAAACTCAAAATATTACAAATAATTGTATCTTGAAATTATTATTTCTTTTAAAAAAAATCTGGGTTGTTTTTAATAGATCTCAACTAATTTTGTGCAGATTATTGTATAATCAAATAGTCACATTCAAATTTAATTTTATATATTCTAAGAGTTTATATAGGTAGCCTAAACCTAGTTATTTTAGGATACTCTCATTCAAATCTTGTACAGGCGTCAAGTATTCATCTTCCTTTTCTTTTTCTCTCTTTTCTCATTATTTTTCTTGCTTTAACTCCCCTTGTTATTTTGTGTTTCGTAAAGTGCCACCCAACTGCTCCTATTTTAACTTTTCCCATCTTGAATCACGTGTTTGCATAACCCAGGCATAGTAGCTTTCTAAACCTACAATTTTCACTTGTAGTCCTAGTCTTTACACACACACATGTATGGCAGGGATTGAAACTTTTCATCTTTTCCTCTAATCACCTGGTGTTGCGTGGACTTGTTTTACATGTGTATATGTGTGTGTGTATATTCTATACACATTGCAATTGCTTCATGTTAACCCGACTGCTTGTTTTCCAAAAGGGTTCCCACATCCTTTACGACACTATCGATATAATCCAGTATGCCCTTTCTTCTCACTTTAACATATACTCTTTTATCCTTGACTTGAACAAATTTATATAAAGAAGGACTTGAATTTTTTAAGATTTGTTTCGCATCTAAAATTTTAAAGAAAA